GGTATTATACTCTTTTCAGAATAAGAAGGAACCAGGCGGCCACGGACAAAACCGGTTTTGTTACTTAAATCTGGTGCGTTCTTATTCTGAAAAGAGTATAGAAATAACTAATAACACAGAAGTTAGGTACCTACCTAAATATGTTTGAATTTTTAAAAATATCGAACTACTTTATTTAATCTTTGATAAGTAAAACCAGTACCTGCTTATTAATGTAGAGTAGGTACCTACAGCTCAAGTATTGCAAAATAATGAATAAATATTATATAACCATTTGAAAATTCCAAATCATTAAAATATTTGACAAATGAAAGATCTTATTTTTTAATCCGAACGAAATTTATTTAGCCGTTTGTCACGTATCTAATTACATGTTAATGGCTTCATATAAGACATAGGGTGAATGATTATTGGGTAATGGGTATAAATAAATAAAAAAGAGCCAAATGTTTTCGGTCGAAAAGCATCATGTATATTTATTCAATGGATTCTCAATAATAATTATAATTTACTAATTAGGTACCAGTAAAAATAAAGCATATAAAATGTCTATGTACTTCGGAAAAAGTTTGCTGAAAAATGCTACGTGTATCACTTCGTTTTTAACTTAATTTCATGTACCATAGTTAGTATAGACCTAATATTGTATACATAGGAAATATAAAAAACTATGCTTTTAATTGTTACTACTTTTACATAATATATAAACAAATCTATGGATAAAAATCATAAATAATTCAAATAGAAAATACTAACACATCAGTAGGCCACATATTCTTTTCATTTTTGTAGACCGGTGATTTACGAGTATTTAGGAGAACACCTAAAATATTTTTCAGCACTTTAATAACAGGCAAACATTTCGAAATAAATGAGCGCCTTTGAGCTTAAAATGTGTAAGGGTCTTCTACAACTGGACATAAATGCATAACGGGAGTGTTGCCATTTATCAAAGTACAAAGTACCAACATAGAAGACAAAATCACACAATGCTGTGTACACCACAACTTTTGTTCTTTTTTGTAAGTAAACGTTTTATTTTTTATTTTTAATAATTACTATATATAAATGACTACACATATCTCATTTATGCACAAAATATATTTTTGAATTATTGATTAACGTAGTTTGAAGAGGTCATACTTTAAGTTATCATCTTAATGACTTGTGACAACAATTACCAAATATATTAATATTACTTGATTTTTAGGTGTAGAATATTAAAAAGAAAAAAATAACATTATATAAAACACTAGTCGAAATAAACCAATTTATTAATGTCGTTCAAATAATATTTATTTAGGATAAGAGAATTTCTCTTTTCTTTACTAAAAATGTATGTTTAAATAAGAATTATGAACAAAACAATTAAAAAAATCAAATCATATTTCCTGTAACAGTTCTTAGAATTGGAATCTATTCATGGGGTTACTTTGATTCCTAAAATCATACTGTTCAATTCCTTGTTCAGTTTCTTGTACAGAAGGTGCGACACTTGGATCATCTTCGTCAGGACCAAAATATCTTTCAATAATTGCTAAAGCTATCGCATAAATTTCTATGTTCTCATGTGACTGCAGCAATTCTATTTTGTCCAGACCATAGCATTCTTCTATAAATATAGCATACATATTAACACCACCAATGTGTCTAGATAATTGTTTGCCTATCTTAAGAATGTTTTCTAGACCATTCAAAGCCACTTCGATAATTTTTACATCTGTCACTGTCAGGAGATCACACAATGCAGGGATACAATTCTAAAAACACAAATATGAAAAATAAACAACAAAATATTAAAACAATTTTTAATAAAAGTACATACTTGATCGACCATATATTGAATTTGTTCTACCGTTCCTCCAGAAGTAGCATTTGTTATAGCCCACGCAGCTTCTTTTCTTGTCTTAAACTCAGCCGTGGCCATAATATGTATGAGTGCAGGGAATATATTTTCATTCAAAACAGCCTATTAATATACATAATAACATTCATTCTATCAGTATTCAAGTGTTAACTTGTTATTATTAAATGTCTCACTTGTATTTGGTTTTTATTTCCAGCAGTAATATTAGAAATTGCCCAACAGGCCTCTTTACGGATAGTTTCTTTGGTTGATCCCAACAAGCTAAGTAAGTTAGGTAAGACCGAACAATTTAGAATGACTTGTGTTTGAACATCATCACCAGTTACTATATTACCAACGGCTCGCAGAGCAGCAGAGACAACATTGTTTTGTTTGTGCCTTTAAATAACAGAGTTAGGTATGAAATTTAATTATTAATCAATTTTTGTTTATAAATTAGACTTACATTAGTAATTTAACTAAAGTTGGACAAACTTTAGCATCAATAACTGCTTGAATTTTTTCATTTGGACCATCTGATAAATATGACAAGGCCCAACAAATATCTGCCAGTACTTCTGGATCATCATGACTCAACAAATTTGATAAAACTGGTAGAACTGGTGAAACCATGTTGAAATCAGGAGGCGGCACTTTTCCACGACACAAATTAGATACCGCCCATACAGAATTATGAGTCGTTGAAAGACGTGAGCAACTTTTTAGTAATCTAATACAAAAAAAAAAAAAAATATATTTATAAATATAATTATATAAATATTATTATTTTAGTTGTAGAACATAATAAATATTCAAAAAAGACACTACAACCACACGAGTTGCCTTCAACATCAAAAATACCAAATTTTTATTCAATATATGATTATATAACCCCAATTTTGTGTTGTTAGCTTTAATATAACTAAAAATTAAACTATTATCAAATTTTAAAGTAAAAATATCACCTAGATTGTAGAACATCTCATAGGTTTATTCTCATATTTAAATATTTAACAGTCTTAACTCACTTTAAAATTAAAATTTCAATAAAGGTCAAGGAAATACTATAGATCATATTCTTACCTATAAGTTTGATGATAAATCAGTTTTATTCCCTTCTATTATACATACCTAACAATACAAAATTGGTTTTACCACTGAGTATATAATGTATAGAGAAACAATCTATTATAAAATATGTCTTATGTTCCCGGGGAGGCAGCTATAGATGACCAATGAAAAAATTTGCAAAATCAGTGTAGTAAGTAATTCTACCTATTAATCATTATTGTACACAATTGCCAATGTCAAATTAATCACTATAATAATTATCTATAATTTAGCTTGTACAACATAGTAGTAAAATTAACTATTATAATGTTATTATTATGCCAAACAATAAAATACGAGAAATAATATGATATTATTTTAAAACATCTATTAAAAAATAAAATAATATTGTTAGTGACTGGTAGTGAACTCTGTTGTCAGCGACAATAAACTAATATTTAGCAAGGAATGCAATTTGACTGCATTATGTTTGTAATATGGGGACCATACATGCGGATAGTGATATATTCTCTTTAGAAATTACTAAATAACAGTAGTCGGTAATAACTACATGTAAAATTAGATTAGGTAAATACATTTTTAATTCAATATTGATAAATTTGTATATTTAGAGTTATTACTTTATTAATGGCTTCATTATGCCCATGTTCAAAATGTAATCACGACACATAGGAGAATCTCCAGCAATATTTCCTAGAGCCCAAACCGCTTGTTCTTGTACATCTTCTTGTGGTGATTCGAGCAAGTATATTAATACCGGTACGGCATCAGCTTCCATTACCTTTTGTGTCTGTTCTGATGTTCCAGAAACAATATTTGTCAAGGCCCATGCAGCTTCAAACTAAGAAAATTACATGTATAAGAACTATGAACACTCCTATCATAGTGACAAAGTTTATACAAGTAGCTATTTAATGATTAAGAAAAATAACTAGGAAGTGCCTAATTAATAGAATTATTAAATAGAAATTTAATTATATACCTGTAGATAGCAATTGGTAGTATTTTTCAAAAATTCAACAAATCGTGGAATAACACCTGCACTAATAACAGCATCAATAGGAGGATTAGGTTCAGTTGACAATAACTTCCTAAGCTTTTGTGTTGCTTTTAACTGATCTTCTTCATTAGTGCTATACAAATCTTTAAGCAGTTCTTCATTTATGTTGGACCAAGCAGGCGCTGTACCAGGTAAAGCCAACTATAAACATATGTATTTTAAAATGTTAGTATTACATTTTTAATAAGTAAATAAATCAATAAATTTGGACATTGTATTGAAGTAAAAGGTAGGTTTGAAAATAATATTGAACCAAATATCAAAGTTAAAGCGATAAAAGTATCATTAAGGTTTCGTTTATTTTACATTAATTGAATGCAATAACTAGGTAATTATAGAATTCACAAACTTGAGTAAAAGTGTAAGCCATTTTATAATAAACATATGAATAAAAATGTTAACTAACATCACCAGGGTTTTAATCGAACAGCGGATCACACTTACGTCAGGGTCATCGTTCTGAATAGTCTCGTTGATGTTGCGCCTTTTGAACAGGTGAATGTCTCGTTTCTGCTTGCTCAACTGTATGCCTTCTTCTTCTCGCCTGCGACGCAACTCATTAGAGTCGACGCCTTCGTTTTTGTACATCATTCGGTGCGTGTTGGACATCGTGATGGCTATCGGCTACGGCACCTCTGCAAAGAACGGACAAATAACGATCGCATCAATTAACGTACAAGATACAAATTTCTGTGATACCACGAGGAAAAAAATACCGAGCCAGGCACACACGATATTTAAGGTTAAGTACGGATTATTAACATGCGTACAACTAAAATAATATCTGGGTAGCTGATGGCTGTTGAGTGGCGGACAACGTACTTACGATTAAACTGCACTACGTTGTGGACGGCGAACTGTTTTGGTAGTGGAGGCGATGATGTAGTCGAGCACGGAAAAAAAACCGATTATATTCGACTGGTTTCCGCCGAGATCGACGCGGAGAACATGCAAGAATACCGCACTAGTGCGTAATGCCGTAATCATAATATCACATCAGAGTAAATAAATGAAAAATACAAAATGGCGCTACGGATGGCAAACGGATGGTGGGAGGGGGCCGAAGAACGCCCTAAGACCATGGAAGAAAGGTTAAACAGCTGTTGCCGCGGAGCAACAATAAAGGAATTCGGTTTTTACATCGTCTCTGAGACCACGTCGATCGGCCGCGGTAGCGACAGGGCCGCCAATCGAACAATACGAGAACCGGTTGCCTCCACCACAGATTAATTTTATAAATAAAAATAAAAACATAATTTATTCTGTGATTCAAGCCGTTGATCAAAGTATAATTTATTGATCTAACTGCTCTAACTAATATATATGGACTAGGAACTAACCATCTAGTTGTAGTCTAGTATGCCAATAACCGGGAATCGCCTTTTGAAATTTGCACTTGGTTTGTCAGTGGTCCGCTCGTTTAATTGGTTGTCTTGTTGTCGACTCACTCACTCGTCCGTTCGCCTTTCATTTCAAGAACTGATTTTGTTTTAAACCTAGAACATTTTATAAGCAATTACGACTGTCGTACTAATGTACTATATTCAGGAATGTACATTTGAATGTTGTTAAGACTACCAGTTTGATTATTAAGTAATTTAATAATTGCATGGGAATTTGATTCAAGTAGTTCAGTTGATCAAAAATATACATCTATAATTTATTATTATTTATGAAAATATTAGACAATATGCATAAATTAATTACATAATAAATAACAATATTATATTATTAAATAGAAAACTTCAAAAAAAAAAAAAAATGGGGGGGATAATGTCCTACTACACCAAAAACATCCGGGGGTTTGGGGGAATGTCCAGGATTCCCTAAGCAATAACTTATAATCTAGGGTGAGTAACAAGTTTATTATGTATTGTTTCTTTTTTCTACATTGTATTAGAAATTAATATACTACGTACATTGCTTAAATGTATATTATGATAGCAAACAGCGAATAAGGATGATATACGTCAGTTTTAACTTTATGAGGTAAACATTTTTATATCTGCGTCCTTTACCGGTACATATGCTCAAATGAGTCACGTGTTACATGTAAAATATTTTAGTTGCACCTACACAAATTTAACGATTTTAGATATAATATTATCATACGCCGTTTGAATAATAATAATAATAATAATACCTATAATGGGCTCTATAATTTATGTATTAGACTATAGTATAGATGATCCTCTAAATTCTATTGGTAATAATATGGGTATTGATTAAGCCGGTAAGGTATATTATATTATTATAATGTACCAGTAACCATATTATATATTATTATAAAAGCCATTATTTTGGTATTTAATTTACTTTTTAATTGTTACCATAATCAATATTCATATAGGTATATCAAACCTTACATCAGTAAATGCAAAAATAATATAATATACATTTGCATAGTATGGCATAGTAGGACCATAATATAAGACTACGGCCTAGTAACTATATATGACGGTACCGTGTGAACAAATATCATTTTATATTTTGTGTAGTTTATTATATATTATTATGTCTATGATGGTCATGCATAATAGGCATTCCTACCGACTATTGTGTTGATAAATTATATATTTACATATTTTATTAAAGTTGTATTTAGCAAAGGTATATTAACGATAAATACAAATTAAGTCATAATAAGATCGAACAAAATAGTATTAATAATATTTAAATTATTGTAAAATATATAATCAGGTATTTTGTCTGATTATGTTATTTTAATAACAAGCTTTGAGCTTTATTATTATTATAATATAATTGTTAGCCAGAGCAGTCTTATATGTGGCCCACCACATTATATACAATAAGGCCCGGATACGGATAAACGCTGCAGTTTAAGCTTTTTAGTTTTCATAAAAATGAAAGAAAAATGGCAACAACATATGCTGTTGTACATTTTTATGGAGATAACAGTGTAGCAGCTGTCCGAAAATTTTGGTATTCAGTTAAAAATGGTACTTGCGCATGGCCAAAAAAACCACACAATCCCAAAAAAATTGATTGCGCTTCACAGCATACTAAACGAAATTGAATATGAATTTGATTTGATATGAATTTATTTATTTGTTCATTCTAGTTATAAATAAAGTTACACATGATCATGAACAAACATTAAAGTCAAATACTAGGGATAGAGAAAAAAGTAAAAGCAGATATATATTCATATAGTTATATTTACGGTCTTAGAAGATCCACTAAGCCTGCGTGGTTATATATAAGTTTTAATTTTTTACATGCAAAAATATTATCTGATATTCGATATAATGTATTTACGATTTTATTATAGGTTATACACCAATACAAACAATATTGGTAGTGGTTCTCAAATCTGCAGTAGTAATTCAGCTGTTGATAATTGTTAGTATAATATAGTGTAAAATATTATTACTTACTATATAACGAATAGTGTGCTGTATAACTAACTGCATTTATATGTTATACAGTTAAAACTTTGAAATCATAAATATTTTAGAATGAACAGTATAGGTACTTTATTAATGGACTATCATATTATGCAATTGTGCGTTTATTGCCGGCGTCATAAATAGTTATGGGCAAATTAATAAATCTTAATCAACTAGCTACCACACATATTTGATGATCTTCAAAACTATTAACATTTTTATATATATTTTTTTTCATTTTGAAGCTAATTTATTATGCTATACAATAACTAGTTACACAATTAAATCAGATATGTATTTCACATATCATAATAATTCAATTATTCTTTTATTATTACTACATTTTTATATTAAATAATAAAAACGACGATATTATATTATGTTAGGTATCCTATGCACGCGCACATGACAATAATTATTTTGCAGTGTTACATTACGTCACGTGCGTAACCCGGTTATAAATAGAGATACCAATATAGTGATTTCCTAATAATATTATAATATGATTTCGCATCAAACTCGGCTGGCAACCACCGGTCGATCCAAATAACAATACTGCGCCCCATCGTCCACCACTGCGGACCGGTCGGCTTGTAGTGCGACACTGTTATTGTGTAATATATTATTATTATTATTATAATGCAATGTGCACACGACATATTTGGGCAGTCGCGAGTCGTTCTATTATACGGCGTGCTTACATTATCACTATTATTATTCGGTCGACAACTCGCTCGAGGCGGAACGGAACATATTTTATTATATATATAACGCCCTTACGGTTGCAGTAGTCGTCGGTGTCGCGGTCTCGCCAGAGGATCTAAAACACGGACGGCCTCCGATTTATCGTTTTGTCGCCGATAAGTTATTGCTAGTGTCGAAGTTCGAGGACTTCTTCGCGGTTCGGTTGTTCCGCAGGAGAGCCGATGCCATCGGTCTTCGCACCGCACAGCTCGACAAACTCACGCATATAAGCGCACGTCGGGGGCTCGAAGGGGACCCAAACTTTTCTAATTGCTTACAAAAACAGTAAAACTCGCCACACTTTCGCAATTCCGAAAATTTATTAGGGATTTTTCGTACACGAACCGTTTCACTGCTCTTGTCCGACACCCCCTCCCCCCGCGTTTCGATTGACGTAGGTGCCGAGACGAACGCTGTCGCATCCCCAAAGTGTTTGTGCCGGTCGTCGGCCAAGAGGAACTACCCCTCCGACAGCCTTCCCCCCGCCACCACCCTCCGACATAGGTTCGTACGAGGATATATTGTTGTGATAATATGGACTAGGTTAAATCACGGCGTCGTCTGTGGTTTCGCCGGCACACTGGGTGCTTCTGCAGCTGCAGCTGGCAACTAATAAACTGTTTAAGTTATACGTACCGTATGGGACTTTTGTTTCCGTACAATAGGGGAACTACAATATTATTTACAATCGTTTTTGATTTAATATTATTTTTATTTTATTGTTCGATACCTATAGAAATAGGTAAACGGAGACGTGATGACTGCAAGTTCGAGTGTTGATTGGCAGAAGTTTTATTTTGAATAAATAGTTTTTAATTTTCGATAAATCATAAAATAAGATCCTGGACACATATCCTGCACAGAAAAAAAAAATACTATACTATTATAGTTAAAAAAGGTGGGTAAGTGGATGTCGCTCTGCTGTACAATAGTGGGTCACTGTATAATGGTTGCTATTAAATTTGAATTCAATGATATAATATCATTGTATAAGAAAAACGATTCTGAGCGAAGACGGTATGTCAGTCTAGGTTTAAGATAAATTATATACAAATCTATGGTAAAATCCATTGTTGTAAAAATTTGAATTTCAAACGCTCATAAAAATTTAATTTGACTTTCCGGTAGAGATTTTTTTATTGATAAAGGTAGACAATCTTATGAGTAATCTTGTATTAGATTTTCAAATCTTAGATTTAAAAAGAAAAATTTTTACGAATTCTTAACTCAAAATAATTTGCTAATTTTCGCGATTTTTCCATATTTTGTCAATTTTTGAACTTTAAATGCTTATAAAAAAAAATTGTGACTAAGGATTTTTAATATTTTTCATCTGCCTTTGAAACAATATATTAGGAGCCTTCTATTAAATTTTCAAGCTTTCGCAACCAACAAATAAAATTTTATTGATATTTCTAGAAAAAAAACTAAAAAAAAACGAAAAATGAAAATGTCCCTAAACTGTTCAAAATAAATCAAAATATTTTGAAAATGTCATCGTGTATAGAAGATGCAAATATAAACAACCAGTGAAAATTTCATGTATCTACGGTCATTTGTTTTAATGTTACACCAAAAACCAGAATCGATTTTGCGTAAAAATTCCCGTTTTTCCTTAATTTTTATGTTGTTTTTCCCGGCGCTCTTGAAAACTACTGGGAAATTTAAATTTTGACCTCCCCAATGCACCAACGATATTCACTTTCCAATCGAACAAGATACTGAAGTCGAAAATCGAAGCATTATTTCGACTACTTATCGTGTACACAGACACAAAAAAAATAAATAAAAAATTTAAAAAAAAAAACACACATCATTGTAAAATCAATACATTCATCGTTTCACTCAGAATCTAAAATGGTTTGTAGGTTTCTAGTTTAATTTTGTATGTTATTTGATAGCAAACACAATATAAATTAGCTTTAAAAAATAAAAATACATAAAAAGTTGAATATATAGTTTTAACAATACATCATCAATCAATGTTAAGATTTATTAATAAATTGACCATAGCAAAATAAAAGAGTTAGCCCCCCCTCCACAACAACATTGAGTGTCATGTTATTATATGAATAT